CATTAAGAGTGACGACGAATTGATGGGACGTATGTATGAGGGGCCGTACTCAAATTTAAGTCATTTTTGGTTTATTTTTGCTGCCCTCCCCCCTCCAAGTAAGATTTCGTAAGATCCGGTCGAGCCCCCCCCCCCTAAACGTCTCGCGTTATATTCAAGTACGGCCTCTAGTACTAACACAATATCAATTTTCGAAAATGTCGAATAACTTGATTTAATAAATTTTTTAAATGTCAGAAAGAACTTATTGACTCAATAAACGATGTTTCAGTAAATAATTACTCATTTCAATTATTTAATTACTTCCTATCTTTGTCGCGGACGTGGTAAGGATGACTACGTTGACGAAAATAAAAAAAGGCGGGCGAAAGTAGAAAAAAATTTCAGTAAAATCGCCAAACACTATTTGGGCACTCAAAAACCATTCATCAATAGGTAGAACTGCAGAACTTTTGAAAACTATTGATTAATGGTGCACCTCAACTTTTACTAAACAGTTTTCTAAATCTTATAACTCGAGCACCATAGAAAACCTTTCAAACTTACACTAAAAAATTATGACTATAGAAATACCATTGAGGAAACAGTACTCCTGCCTATTAATAACTTTTCACGAAATGAAACCACTCATGAACAGTTAGCAATGGTGTATTGCCTGGTACAAAGTTACCACCTAGAACCATTGAACCATTTATGAATGGTTTTCAATGGATTTTTTTAAGAAGTTTTTTATATACATAAATGGGTATACCCATTTATGTATATAAAAAAGTAGCCTCCCTGTATGTCTACTCTACTAAAAAAGGTTGTTTAAGTTTTTATTTTTATTGTCTAATATATACTCAAAAAAATGTGTTTTAAGTTTTTATTTTGTTTGTAAGTGTTCTGAAAATAATTCGTTTTAAATTCTTAACATAGTGGTTTATTATCATCTGTATCTACAATATCAGTATCATTAATACCATAAAATTATTATTAACATTTAAAAAATCGTTGTATTGTAATTATTTTGATTTAAATCACAATTTTTGATTTAAGTCATTTTATTGACTTAACTCTTAGATCACGATTTAAATAAAAAATATACACTTAAGTCATAAAAACGACTTACTAAAGGAATTAACTCATAAGATGACTTAAATCACTTTATATTGATTTAAGAATTTGCGAAAATGACTTGACTTGAAAGAAAATGATTTAATTCAAAGACTTAATACTTAAATCATTTGAACTTTATCTTAGAATTGACTTAAGATTTAAATCATTTTGATTTTAGAATTGACTTAAGACTTAAGATTTAAGTCTTTTTAAAACTGACTTGTTGCAGCTCTGCCAGCACTCATGCTTTTTGTTAAAATATCACTTAGCAACGTGTTTTTTTTATTCTTTTCGGAAAAATTAAATGCCCTTATGATATTACTCAAAGATAATATCTTTGATATTACTTACGAAAAAACCACTCGTTTATACTTGTGGCATAGCAACCTATTGGTTACTATGCGAAAAATAATTTTCAATGTTGACGTTTCTAATTTAAAAGAAAAATGTCAAAAAAATGCGTTTCGGTCAAAAAAATCATGCAGAAATTGAATCCGCAGTTAAAGAAACAGTGCCTAAAAACACCAAAAAAACGAATACATCCATTTGGAAGCAATTTATGGATTTTTGTGAGGCAAAAGGATACCAGTTGCTGCAGTCTACACCACTAAGTGAACTTGTAAATATATTAGAAGATTATGCGTTCAATATGAAGAAGCTGGATGGGTCTGACTATAAAGAACACTGTATAAAGACGTTATGGAACGTGACAGCAAAGATGTTACAAGAAAAATACTTTACAGAATACAACATTGTTTTTAATCCCTTCACAGACCTGCAGTTCCAAAAGGCGCGTAATGCGCGCAATGCCAAGAGGAAAATATTGCAAAAAGAAATTAAAAATCAAAAAGTTAGTTCAAAAGCACTTGATATAAAGAATATTTACAAAATGGTGTCTCTTTGGGATGAAAACTGCCCGGATGGATTGCAAAGGAAGATTTTTCATATTTGTTCTTTTGAACTTGCATGGAGGGGCAATGAAGCTGCGTACAGTAAAATACATTTTTTCAAAAAAGAACTAGATTCAGAAGGAAAGTTTATGGAAAGAATTGAATATAATACAATATTTTCTAAAACAAATCAGGGAGGGTCAAAACAACTGTCAACGAGCAAATGGCTAGTTAAAAACAACCAAAAACCAGAATTTTGCCCTGCTCGATTGCTTTTAATGCTACTGTCAAAAAGAGGTAAAAACATTACAACTGACAGGCTGTTTATTACACCTAACCCAAACTGGCAAAAAGGGTCCTGGTTTAAAAATTCTCCACTGGGTGTCAATAACCTCTCTAAATGGACCAAAACATCAGCTGAAAAAATAGGTTTGGACACCAAAAATAATAAAATAACTAACCACTCCCATCGTTCTTCGGCTGTTTCCACATTAGCCAAGCATGGAATAGGAGAACAACAACTAATCAAGATAACTGGGCACTCGCACGGGCAGTCCATCAAACCTTATCTTCAGCTTGATGCAGCACATCATTCTAATATGGTAGAAAAAATGAGACCAGTTGAAGTGGAAAATCGAATTGAAGGTTCATCTTTTATTCCCTTCACAAATTCTTTGAACACAGTTCACCATGAACATCAAAACCAGCAAGCTGCTGTTTATCAAAACTGCAATTTTACTATTAATAATTATTACAAATGATTTTCATATTACATTTTTGTTAGGTTTTGATTAGTTTTTCTAGTTTGTAAGTTTGGTTAGTTTTTGTAGTTTCATTTGAAAATTTAATGTTTGAATAAATATTTAATTAAAACCTTTTTTGTACCTAAAAAAATATTCGTGAAATAGTCTTGCCGAATACCACTCGTGATAAAATTTTCCCTGAAAAAATTTTTGATTTTTATTAACTCATGATTTTTCCTTGGAAATTACGCAAGTGGCATTATTTTAAAACCACTCGCCTAGCGGCTCGTGGTCTTAAAATTTAATGCCACTTGCGTAATTTCCAAGAAAAAAACATTCGTATAAAAATCAAAAATTTTATCGGTAAAATTTTACCACTAGTGGTATATACGACAAAACTCCTGCCCGTGATTTCTTAGCGACAAAATTATGGTTTGGTACTTCTATTGTTGTCAGTTTGATAAACAATAAAATTAAAGTTGTTTAAACATTTGATATTATTGCAAATCCGTCACCAAGGTGTTTTATAGGTACTTCTATTGTTGCCAGTTTGACAAACGTCATTGTGAAATAATGAATCCACGCGCAAATTCACGATTTGGGTGCCATTCAGATGAACAAATAAAAAAATTGGTTTCAGAAAATATTTAAATATTAAATATGGAAAATAGTTTCATGCAAAATAATTAAAAATAAAACCCCTCGACCGCTACGCGGTCTCGTTATTTTATTAAATTATTTTGCATTCAACATTTTCCAAGAAAAACCAAACAAAAAAAACTACTGAGCCTAGTTTAACCGATTAAATTCATAGTTCTCGTGATATAATATATGATTAAAGGAAGCAGTGGTTTGTGTGCAATTTTATCATTTATAAATTATGAATTTTAATTAAATGTACCAGGAAAATAACTACATCCTACTAAAATGTATAATAGATTTAAATTCAAAGTCGAAACCTATGAAGTTTGGTAACTAAACTATTTACTAAAAAGTCCAGTAATTTTAACTTGTTAACACATGCAACTTTACAGTTGCAGACCCAATAGTAACATCTCGTCTCGCCCCTATTTTATTTTTTGAGTTACGTTATTGGTTCCATCTATCGCATTTAGCTTGAAGTCAGTGTAGAAAACTGTAAATTTACAGATAAAATTACTGGAGAATAAATTCATGCTAGTATATTATTATAATATATGCACGTTATTTTTAAACAATTTAAGATATTTTTTTTTGTTTTTAACATGCGATTTGTCTTCCATGTGATTTTTAAAAATGAATGTTGTATTATAGGTAAATATTCTTTCTGTAAAGTTCTATTTTTTAAGTTAGTTTTAATTAACAATTTTAAGTAGGTATATATTTTATCTATCTACCTTATTCTTTATTTTTAAATTTTGTGTTATATTTTTTTTCTTTAAATCTTCAAGGTTTTTAGTTTAGTTTTTTTTTCTGACCTATGTAAACATGTTAACATGAATAAATATTATTATTATTATTATTATTATTATTATTATTATTATTATTATTATTATTATTATTATTATTATTATTATTATTATTATTATTATAAGGGCTTTATCCGCCTGTTAGATAATGTAGGTACTAATTATCTACTTACCAATCGGAATAAAAACACAAAAATAGAGAACACACTTAAAAAACATATTGAGAAAACTAAAATAGAAAAATGCTGGACATTTTTGATTTTATGGGCAGTTTCATGAAAGCTAAATATACAATTAAATAGAAAATAAAGTTGATTTGTATGCATAAATTAAAACCACTGAAAATGATAAGAAAATTCATTACAGAAAGTAGGTAGGTAGGTACTCTTAAACAATGGTTTGCAAAAGGCAAAATAAAATCTTACTGTAAATAATAAATAAATTCCTATTATAATTAATTAATATTAATTAATGAATTAATAAATTAATAAGAATGTACCAAAATAAAATAATAAATGTTAATTTTTTTTATCTACACAACGAAAATTTCGGATTCAGCTGGCAATTGTACACAGGAACTGACTTTTAAATGTTGGGGATTCGCATTTTTCTTTTAATTTGTTGACTATAGTTTTATTAATCTGCGGTCTGTTCCTACCCCCAAACCAGCATAAACGACAAATTAAGAATTATAAAGAAAATTCTTTCCTACGACTAATTAGTTCGAACGTCATAGTAGGCTGGTGAATTGACTATAGGCAACCACCATTACACAAAATTGTAACATGCGTTGCCTATAGTCAATTTTAATAATATATATATATGTCCAATTATATTTGGGTAAAATAAATATGTATTTAAAACAATTACCTTTAAACGTAAGTACCTAATTAAAACTGACGCCGTCTATGTCCTTGAAATAAACAATTTAATTAATTTACATTTTTGCACATTTCGCCAAATTGACGTTCAATCGACCAATCAAATCAGTTTATTTTGACGTTTCTAATTGTGTCACTTGATCCATAGAAAAACCATAGATAAACATTACAAATTTAATAATTGTGTGTTGTAAAAGTGGTCTAAAATATTGTTTCTTACATGCAATTGCTTTTAATAAATCATGGACAACTTAAGGTAAGTTATTAATTAAATTAATTTATAATAAATGTATTTAATTGTAGAATATACACTGCCACATATAATGTAGGAACTGAAACACCTAATGATGTGAGTTTGCTGGACCTGCTGTCTTTAAAAGAAGACCGTAAAAATGAAAAACTACCGGATCTTTATATTCTCAGTTTTCAAGAGGTTAATGCTCAACCGCAGAATTTGTTAATGAACAGTTTATTCGACGATCCATGGACCAAAGCAATCAAAGAACATTTACACTGCAGGGATTATGTCAAAATAAAGTCCATTCGTCTACAGGGGCTGTTGCTTATTGTTTTTTCCTTGCGAGGGCATATTTTGAACATAAGAAATGTCGAGTCTGAGTACACAAGAACTGGATTGTCGGGAATGTGGGTAAGTTGCAACTGCCAAACTATTCTGTAAAAACAAACCACATATTCCTTGGAATTATTAATTGAGGTTATGTTTTTAGGGTAACAAAGGGGCTGTCAGTGTGAGGTTAAATATATCTGGATGTTCACTGTGTTTTGTGAATTCACATTTATCTGCTCACGATGAGGAACTTAAATCGAGAATTGAGGATTACAATAGAATTATTGAAGATCAAAAGTTTCATGTGGATGAAACTACCACTATTTTATTTCACGAGTAAGTATCTCCGATTTATAAATTTAGTAAATGAATACAAATATATTCTAGTTACGTCTTTTGGATGGGCGATTTGAACTTCCGCTTGCTCATGGAATACGAGCATAGCCCGGAGGAAATTGAAAGGGAAGTCAATAAGAAGGAATTAAAGAAACTTTTGGAATATGATCAATTAAAGTTGGTTATGGATGAAGGTAAAGCTTTCCACGAATTAACTGAGAAAGACCCGGATTTTCCACCAACATTTAAATATGAAGTGGGAACCTCAAGTTATGATCACAAGTAGGTTTTTGAAGATATTTATAGTTAGGTTTGATTAATTTTAAGAGATTTTGATGTTTTTATATTAAGAGTAAGGTTATGGTTTATATCATATGTTTTAGGAGACGTCCAGCCTGGTGCGACAGAATTTTGCACCGCGTAAATGCTAAAAATTACGAAAACGTCACTTTAAGTGTGGATCAACTTTCATACAGGTCCCATCCTATGTACACATTAAGTGATCATAAGCCTGTATCGGCAGAATTTTTAATAAAAGTAAGTAGATTTGCAGTTTTCTTCTAGGGATTCAAAATGTTTTATTTTCAATAATTTTTAACCAATTAATTAATTTTGATCCAGTTTTATCAATTTTTACTTATTTTTTTTTTATTAAATTGTATTAGTTATTATACTGAAGGTTCCAATATTCACAGCCAAAGGGTAAAAATAAATTCTGCGTGAAAGATTTTCCTTTACAATTTTTTGGAAATCGCAAAATAGCATGAGTTATTTAACTCTTAAAGCCGTCAATAAAAGCGCAGCATTATCGATTTGTAAACTTGGTTGCCTACCTACATTCGAATAAACACGTGGCCCTTCCGATAGAGCAGAAATACTGCGCTCTCATTGGCGAATTTAAAAAGTTAACTCTGCAATGATGTAGAAATTTGATGTGAAACTAATTCTACTGTTTTATAAAGATTAGTCACTAAATTGCCTTAAAAATTACTAGTTAGCGTGACGTCACGATGTTATAATAAATAAATGGTATATTGGTAGGTATAATTATTTTTTATGTCAAGTTTTACGAATGAACAATATGCAAAAACAAAAATTCTGAACATAATGAAACTCTTTGTAAGTTATAACCTTTTTACTTGTTATAAAACCATTGACAAATTATTTTAGTATTAAATTATAATAGTTCATAAATTTATTTTTACAATTTAAAATTCCCACCTCCAGTCACAATCTACACAACAAGGTCTATCTCGTTTGAATTGATAATAACCCAGAAACAGATGTTGAATTCATTCTTAATTCTTGACACATCTGTTATAACATCGTGACGTCACGAGCTCTCTTCAACGCCATCGAAGCGTTTACAATCTTAAAAAAATTTTTACTCGACATAAATAATAAATTGGGTTTTTAGTAATCAAAAGCGGCCCTTTTATTTATAATTATATCAATATATCGTTAATAAAATGGCCTAAAAGGCCACAACAAGTGTTATTTTTGAACTGAAGTCCCTAATTAATTTAAATAGGAGATAATGTAATTAATTTTTTCCTAGTTTATTTTTTTTATCGTTTTTGGTAGATTCCCGCCTTAACCCCTGGTCAGGTATTTTCAGATTACAATGAAAGTACGATTTCGTTCGACCACGTGGCAACATGGGACGGCGATTCCGACAATAAAGTCACTTACTCCGTCACTTATGACGTTGATGTCGACGTACAAGACTGGATAGGCATTTTCAAGGTAAGTTATTTAATGTGTTACATCTAAGTTATTACGTATAATTAACTATATTTTAATCGAAAATTATAAAGGTTTTTATTTTTTAAATGCGTTTTTAGTCATATAGCACTGTTTTGCAGAAATAATTCACAACAACTTTTCTATTAAAAATAAATATCATTTTTTTTCTGTATTACCTAAGGATTATTACTTTTAATTAACTATATTTTAATCAAAAAACATAACGATTTTTATTTTTTAAATAGATGGTCCTAGAGCATCAATAGAGGAAATTATTTTTTTATTTCTTACTGTGTTAAATAAGACGTAATAGGTATAATTAACTATATTTTAATAAAAAAAAAATATTTTTTAATTGTCTTTTTTAGATTTTCGCGGTGAAACGATTGCGAAAATAATTCAATAACTTTTTTGTAAATAAATACATCTTAAGCACACTTTAAGAAATAAATAACATAATTTGAATTTTAACATTTATTCCATTAATTAATAATAATTCCTTAACTTCTTCATTATATGCTTATAAGCTCATATTTTACAAATTTTTTTAACTATCTTAAGCACACTTTAAGAAATAAATAACATAATTTGATTTTTAACATTTATTCCATTAATTAATAATAATTCCTTAACTTCTTCATTATATGCTTATAAGCTCATATTTTACAAATTTTGTATTTCTCCTAAGTAACGTTATTAGGGGGTCAGACAATATTAAAAGACGATTTTCTCAAAAATAAATATCGAAATTTTTAAAAACCTTATTTCTAGATTCTTGACCTTACTCACAAAGTAATGTTTTACCCAATAGTGTTTACCTTTAAAGATGCAAAACAAGGGATTATTAATTAATTTACAAAATATTTTTCCTTTAAGAGGAGCAAAGGATTATCTATGTAGATATCAACGTAGAAATTGGAGGCAATCGTAGTTAAATGCCTACATAATTTTACCAATGTGTCTTTAAAACGTTATAACTTTTAATTTTTATTTAAATAGGAATTTTTATATATGGGTGATTCTACAAAAGTTGGGCAACTTTTCACCTCATTTTGTTTATATAGTTTTCGTAGAAATAACAGTATTTTGTTATAAGAACATAGATAATATAATAAATATACTGTTCCAGACTGTTTCAAACAGTTTCTGAAATATCTGTGTTTTCTAAATTTAAATGCAAGGGAAGTGACGAGTATACTAGGGTACTAATTAAATACATAATTTATTGGAAAATATAAGACTAATTGCAACTTTGAGCTTATTATACATTAAATATCTTAAAATCAAATAATACCACACATCAGTGGCGGCTGGTGGATTTTGGGTATACCGATATCTCAATTATTAATTATGGGACCCACACAAAACTTATATGAGTTTATAATGACATTAAATAAACAAGTTCTGCGCAAGCAGAATTTAAATTGAAGTTTGCGAAAAAAAGACCGAAATATCGAACATGGAACTGACGACACGGTACTGATGAATGGGATACAAATTTGAGATTATAATTCGGAATTAAGTATTTTACTGATATTTTTTATTAGTGGATGCTACTTATCAACAAATCACATATAGCCTTGTATAAATTATAATGAATTATATATAAAAGGGTAAAAGTAAGTACAAAGATTATCAATTTTTTAAAAATTTCTATTATTCGAATCTATGCTAAAATATGATGTTTTGAATATTTCTTATGTTTTTCTACAAACGTGCTTTTGAAAAAATACATTAAAATTTGGTGGACAAGTTAAAAAAACCTGGATCTTTTGTAGTATACTATTTACAAAAAATTGTCCATCTTTTGTAGAATGACCCATATGTAGATTAAGGTGTACTTTAAACTTATTTTTTTAAAATATACTTTTGTATGCGCAATTTTTAGCCAATTTTACTGTTTTAAAAACATTCATCTTTGAGGTCTCATAAAATCAAAACATAATTAGTTAAAAATATTTCTTTAAGATGTTTTTAACAAATTATCATCATAAAAATAACAATAATAATTTTAAAAATGTATTTTTCAGTGACAAACTGCGAATGAACAATCAAAACTATTTTTTTCACTCCAAATCTAGTATTTTCATTCGACTTGTTTTAGGACGGATTCGCCGCTCTGGACGAGTACGTGGCGTACGAGTACGTGAGCAAGTGCAGCACTCCGATAGAGGACAAGGACGGGGCTTCGAAATTCGAGGCCACGTTTTCCGAGTTGCCTAGCAAATGCGAGGGCAAATATCGCCTCGTCTATTTCAGCCAGAGCAAGCACGATGTGACCAGCGTGATGGGCATCAGCAACGCGTTTTCCATCGTCAAGAGTCAGAGCGATTAAACTTGCGGCTTTTCACGTCTAGGTGAATTTTTAGAGAAAAGACAGTCACTTTAGGGATTTATAAAAAAGGGTATGCGAAAAATTTCACTCTTTTTACTGTTTAAGTACACGTTTTTACTCACTTACTAATTTTCTTTAATTTTGGGAATTTGTTAAATAGTCTATATGTACACACAAAAATAAATTTATTGAGACCCAAAAGTGATTTTATGTATGGAAACGCTTTTAGGTCAATAAAATACATTTTACGACAAAATTGAAATTAACAAACTGATGGTAAAAAATTACCCAAAACCCTTAATCCAAATTTTATCGTAAATATGTTTTTATCTTCCTGAAAATTTCTATTTATAAAATCGCTTTAGTAGTTAAAAGTAAGAAGATATCGACTTTTTATTAAATTCACAACATTAAAGAAAATTTCCAAGAGAGAACATACAAAAAAATTTTGTCGTTTATTTATTGATTTTTTATATAAATAATTTAATATCTGATATCCCTAAACTACTAATCCAAGGTGACTGAACTAAAACATGGTTATTTTTTTAAGAATTAATTTTTTCTATGCATTTGTTGACAATTTTAGATATTTATTGCACTTAAGTTCAAAAGTTAAATTAGTATTAATCGAATTGTTTTATGAAAATTTCTCAAAAGAGTACCAAAAACCATCAAAAACTACGTTTACAGTCTGTAGCAGGTAGCGTTTTAAAGCGTCGAAAAAAAACAACAAATTGAATAACTTTGGAAATTTAAAAAATATTCACATTTTAATAAAAGGAGCATTTTTCGTTATTTTCAAATTTTAAGCTGAAACTTTTTCAAAATGCATCAAAAAACTTCAAAATTAAATTTCTCGAAACCCCGACAAACTGTAAACGCAGTGTTTCGTGATTTTTACCCCCTATATGACATTTATTTGGGCAAAAAAATTTAATTGTTTTACAGCGTTATTAAGAAATTTGGCAACGCTGTGTGTCTGATAGACTGACATATATGATTTACAGATGTATTTTCTGACATAAAAAAAGTTTTCCATCATTTTATCTAAATAAATTCATTCATTTTTAAAAATGTTAAAATCACGAATTTTTTAGTTTTTGCGATTTCTAAAAAATATATTTTTAAATTTTTCTTGATGGTACAGCCAAAAATGGTGAAAAATAATATTAATTTCCATAAATATACACATAGATGTTATTTTATACTATTTTAATAGGTATAAAATCCTACTTTTTTAAAGAGCTAATTTAATATTTAAAGAACAGATTTTGGTGAAGTTTACGTTTTTCTTAAAATATAATAATACACTTTTACATCTTTTTCTGTGTAATTACACTTACTTCAATTTCACAGAAAAATATTTTAATTTAAATGGTTCAAAATGATTATAACTAAAAATACAATTTAAAATACTACTCAATGTTTTAAAACCACAATTTTCTCAATTTGTTAGGATGAACATTTCATACTTTTATAGTGTCCAAAATATTTCCTAAATAATATTAACCTAGTCCTTCGCTTTAGAAAAAAATTGTTGATAATTTGTTGCTTATGACAAGATTCTTTAACATTTTATAAACCTTAGGATCAACTTAAAGCAGTATTGTCTATTTATACACTTAACTAATAAATTATATTTTTATATATACGATTTAAAAGCCTTACCTGTAGTATAAATGTTGTTTGTATATGGTGACTATTTTTGTTTGGATGTTTTAATTGCAATATTTTGTTATTTAGTTTTAATAGTCTGTTTATTTTACGTAGATTGTTAAATTTAAAGCTTACGGTGAAAAGTATTAACATTTGTTTTAAATAAATTTCATGACAATAGTCTGATAGTTCAAAATATCTCTTAGATTGGCAAAAATATATTATATGACCGCTTATTTAGATATACATATAAAAATTTGGTTAAAAAATATAAATATTTCCTTAAATGTTATAACATTATACCATTTGGTTAAAATATATTTATTCTCATATGCAATTATTGTTTTATTTCCTATATAACGGGTAAATAAAAAGCACATTTGTTAAAAATAATACAAAAGAGACATCTCCTTATATAATTAAACTAATAACACAACATAAATACATTTGGTACAAACTTAAAATAGCTGACCTAGGATACTCAATTAGTTAAATTACACTGTGCGACAATTTTCGGGTCATCGAAATCAAACCGCACCGGACCATTTTTTTCTGAAAATATACCTATCCAATGGCAAAACCCTCGCTGGGTTTGTAAAAGTTAGCTCGAATTTTTTTTTTATGGCCGTTTGTATTTTCGAGCTTTATATACCCAAATTTAGACCTATAAATCGGTTTTTTTCGCATATATTCGACTTATATCGTCAAGATTTTTTGTAGAAATGTAGATACTGCACAAAGAAACCCATTTTGTAAACAACACTTATCCCAAAAACCCAATTATTGGGACCAAATATTCGAAAATAATTTTTTTAAAATTTTTTTGATAATATTTAAAATTTATTGCTACTTCTTCTGGCAAAAATGTTGTAAAGTATACTAAAAGAAGTAATTTATAAAATACGCACACAAAACTGAACTTTAAGTTTGCTTATTTGCTGGAAAATAATCTTTAAACAAGATTTTCCAATATATTCATCTTTTCACTCTCAACACCAAATATTTTACCGAAAAATCTGTAGGAAAAAAATGAATAGATAAAATAGAATTGTAGAAAAGTACAGAGAGTTTGATTTTTTATTTTGTTAATTTTATTATTAAAAAACTTTTTTATATCAAAACATTGAGTTATCTGATTCATCCCTTCCACTTCTTCTCCTTTATTTCCTTGCTCTTCATTTTCATTTTTTGATTCATCACTGGAGAATTTCATCCCTTATACTTCTTCTCCTTTATTTTCTTCTTCTTCATTTTCATTTTCTTCCTGATCGTAGTTGAAAATATGTTTTCTTCACCAAAATGTTTCGGCTAGTATGGCATCTAGAGCTCGTTTTCCTCTTTATCTGGACTCAAACGGCATCGCAGTTTGATGATTGTGTCGATAACTGTCGACTGAAGTAGTCCAAATGGCGATGAGGGAAATGAATTTTTAGCGACATATTGACTCCAATTTTGGAAAAAACATCCAACATTCGTCTCATCCTTCATAATTGGGAGAACGATGTTTGCCTAAAATTCCAATGATGATTTCTCTCTGTCAAAGTCTTTATACTTTACCAATTTCCGAATATCAGGACCATTTAAAACGCCTGAAATGAAATGAAATGAATATAAAAAATATATGAAATGAAGGGATGGAATTCTCCGGTGATGAATCAAAAAATGAAAATGAAGAACAAGAAAATAAAGGAGAAGAAGTGGAAGGGATGGAATTCTCCAGAAATGAATCAGATTATTCAATGTTTTGATATAAAAAAGTTTTTTAATAATAAAATTAATACAAAATAAAAAATCAAACTCTCTGTACTTTTCTACAATTCTATTTTATTTATTCAATTTTTTCCTTCAGATTTTCCAAAGATTTTGGCAAAAAATTTGGTGTTGAGTATGAAAAGATGAATATTTTGGAAAATCTTGTTTAAAAATTGTTTTCCAGCAAATAAGTAAACTTAAAGTTCAGTTTTGTGTGCGTATTTTATAAATTACTTCTTTTAGTATACTTTACAACATTTTTGCCAGAAGAAGTAGCAAGAAATTTTAAATATTATCGAAAAATTGAAAAAAAAAATATTTTTCGAATATTTGGTCCCAAAAATTGGGTTTTGGGATATAGGTTGTTCATAAAATGGGTTTATTTGTTCAGTAACTACATTTCTACAAAAAATCTTGACGATATAAATCGAATATATGCGAAAAAAATCGATTAATAAGTCTAAATTGGGGTATATGAAGCTAGAAAATACAAACGGCCATAAAAAAATAAATCGAGCTAACTTTTACAAACCCAGCAAGGGTTTTGCTATTGGATAGGTATATTTTCAGAAAAAAATAGTCCGGTGCGGTTTGATTTTTGGTGTTGCACAGTGTTATCTGTGTTGTTCAGTTCTGTAAAAGCAGTGGTGGTAGTTTGTAGTTTCTCCAGTTCCTTGTAAGCATCTTGAAGCGAATTATTCCTCTCCCTTTTTCTGGGGAACAAAAGTTTCAGTAACTCTTTTCGCACTATACGACTGAAGCAGAATATACACGCGACTATGAGGCCTTCCGCCGCTATTATTGTATGAAGCACTACTCCCAAATTTGTTGTTAGTCCTTTTTTGTTGAGGTAAGAATTTACTAGAGGTATCACCATTATGACTGCCAGAATGAACTGAGATCTCCATCTGTAACAAAAATAATTATTTACCAAATGCATTTGGTATAAACCTTTAGGCTGTAAGACAATTTGGGACAAACCTACTTTATAAAGATACCTGGGAAAACACAATTTTGAACATTTTCAAAAAATATTCTGGATAATTTTAATTAAACTTCGGCACATTCAGCTTACAGGAGGTTTAAAATAATATACGCCCAGAAACCGAGATCTTAAATCTTACAAAAACAAGATCCAGGGTATTAACACTGCCACCACCACATAAGTACAATACAAAACAGAAAAGCATCACCCTGTATATTTTAACATGTAAAGCGAAAAATTACCAAAAACATTAACGATTTGCGTTGCCGTTCAGGGGGTCCTTTTCGACATTATATTAACGTTGCTGTGAAAGTTGCCTACGTCGTCTTTTATCGACAAACCCATGCGCCACCGTGACTAAAGTGAAAAGTACTCCTTGCAACGACCACACGGCATCGCAACTTTTGACGATGCCCTCAAGTTCCATGTAGGAGTTCAGTTCGATGGCAATTAAGCTCACCGTGAACACTGCTATTATAATTAAACCCTGCCTCCATCTGGAAGAAATATTTTTTCACGTTTTTTCCAGATTATCTCTAAAATATACAGGATGTTTAAAAAATATAATACTATGAATAAAGGTTGTTTCAGGATTTCTGCTGCTAAACTAAACTATAACTAAATTTTAAAACCAAACCCAAAACTACCCTTTTGAGTTTTCTATGGATTGTAGCTGAACTGAACCCTCAAGTAAATAAAATGTGTGTAAAATTATAATATCAGTAAAGTACATAAGTCTAATTATATAACTTATTTGTAAATATATATTTTAATTTTAAATATTTTCTATTTGTTTAAATAATATGGATTCCATTTATTATAATAATTATCTAATAAACAAACAGTTTTTAAAATAAAATTTATATGTTTTACTTATGAATGTTTTGGTATTATAATGTATACATTTCACTATAATATATTAATTATAATGTTATGGATGAGTAAAGTATTTATTATAGTGGATTAAATGTGGTTTGTTAATATTTATTGGGTCGGATATTCCACGATAATCGGAAATTTTTATCCCGACCGTCAGAAATTGTTTTGTGACGGTAGGGATAACAATTTCTGATTTTTATCCAATAAATATGATTACCACTATAAAATCTTAAACACCACATATTTATAAGCACACTATTAAAGTAAAACTTTTGAAGATAGTGGAAATTATTTTTTTTATCAAAATTTTTTGTTCATCATTTATTATTGACTTTATAGGATAAATAAATGAAAAACCCAAGGATAGTTTCTAGTTAATCCTATCTAATCTATTGGTTATCTATGATTTAATATATATATATATATATATATATATATATATATATGTCATAAAAGTGTCGTAAATTATTGTTTCTTGCCTGTATTTTTTTGTAAACCATGGAGAACTTAAGGTAAGCAATTAATTAAATAATTAATAAATTAATTAATAAATATGTTTAATTGTAGAATATACACTGCTACATATAATGTAGGAACTGAAACACCTTTTGGTGTGAGTTTGCTGGACCTGCTGTCTTTAGAAGAAGACGGGGAAAATGAAAAACTACCGGATCTCTACATTCTCAGTTTTCAAGAGGTTAATGCTCAGCCGCAGAATTTGTTAATAAATACTTTGATAGACGATCCATGGACCCAAGCAATCAAAGATCATTTGCGCGACAGGGATTATGTCAATATAAAGTCCATTCGTCTGCAGGGGCTTTTGCTTGTTGTTTTCGCCTTGCGAAGGCATATTTTGAACATAAAAGATGTCGAGTCTAACTACACAAGGACCGGATTTTCGGGAAAGTGGGTAAGTTGAAATCGCCAAACTGTGGTGCTAATTTTTTAAACAGTAATTTTGTTACGTTTTTTAGGGTAACAAAGGGGCTGTCAGTGTGAGATTAAATATATATGGATGTTCGTTTTGTTTTGTAAATTCACATTTAACTGCTCACGATGAAAACTGCAAGTCAAGAATTCAGGATTACAATAAAATTATTGAAGATCAAAAGTTTCATGTGGCTGGAACTAAAACTATTTTAAGTCATGAGTAAGTTCTTTAAGCTATTCCAGAAATAGCATTGGTTTTTATTTTTGTTTTAAACAATGCAGACAAACTTTTTATTGTCATTATTAAATAATAATTTTTTATAAACTTGATATTTTAAAATTTTTATAGCTCGCCTAAAAAAATTGTGTGCACCACTACCAAAAAGTTTTATTCTGTCTTTGTCTTCTTTCTTTAAATTAGAGAAAAAAGTCACTTTTTGGCCTTGGTACACAAATAACTATTGATGGCAAGGTTTTCAAGATATGATTTAATTTTTTTCATTTCGAATTGTAAGATTAGATTAGTTATAAGGTTTCCAGGATCTGTGCAGGTGTATTTTCCAGCACTTGATGTATTGTATTATTTTAAACTGTTGTTTTAACTTTGCCTAGAATGTGTATAAAGTTAATTTTTTTATCTGGACTGCGGCAACGTTGCAAATTTAGGGGTTTGGTTGGTAAATACGGAACCAAAATTGGTTGCATTGACTGTATGCTTTTATTTATTTTGAATTATTTTATTGACCCGAACACGGTATAAAATGTTAAGTATTTATTGTACCTACTATACCTACCATCTGGTTGTAAAAGATGTCAAATTAAACATACACAGAAAAAAATCTAACATAGTACCAAGAACAGCGCTGTCATTGAATGCATTAAAATTGAAGCAATCTAAATTGTTATTTGCTCAATTAATTACTATTAAACCAAAATAGGGAAATATTTTGCCTAAATGTCAAAGAATTTATACATAGTATACATACAATAGTAACGTTATTAAATAAATCAAATTAGTATTTAATGCAATTGAATGGTAGAATGTTATTAATAACATTCTACCATTCTAAGTTAGAATTTCTAACAAATAAATATCAATATGAATATCAATAGATTTAGGAGCGTTAACTTTTGTTGTTAATTTAAAAACAGTAAACGATTATAAACCAAGTGCTAATTACCTATTGGTATTATAGGAACTCTTATTCAAGAATACGGATTACAAGATCCCATTGGTTTAATGGCTCACCCATTAATGCTATGCTAGCGTTTTTTCTGTGCAACAATCACAAAACAAACAATGATAAAAATGTCCGAAATTGTAAAGCTGCATTAAAAAAAAAAACTCGAACACCTTGACATAAAAATTAGTGTTATTTCTGAGCTTATCAGGCCAAAAAACATTATTAAAAAATAGTGTCAACGAATGTGTACTACCATTTTTAAAAATTATTTACTAGTGCTAATTTGTCCTACCATTTTAAAATTTATTCATGTAATTGAAACCTGCCATTACTCGCAAGCTAAAATGGCATTTGTCAAACTAGATACTAGATATTGATTGATATTTTTCTAGTTACGTCTTTTGGATGGGCGATTTGAACTTCCGCTTGCTCATGGAATACGAGCATAGCCCGGAGGAAATTGAAAGGGAAGTCGAGAAGAAGGAATTAAAGAAACTTTTGGAAAATGATCAATTAAAGTTTGTTATGGATGATGGTACAGCTTTCCACGAATTGACTGAGAAACAACCGGATTTTCCACCGACATTTAAATATGAAGTGGGAACTTCAAATTATGATCACAAGTAGGTTTTTGAAGATATTTATAGTTAGGTTCGATTAATTTCAAGAAATTTTGATGTTTTTATATTAAGAGTAAGGTTTTGGTTTATATCATATGTTTTAGGAGACGTCCAGCTTGGTGCGACAGGATTTTGCACCGCGTAAATGCTAAAAATTACGAAAACGTCACTTTAAGTGTGGATCAACTTTCATACAGGTCCCATCCTATGTACACATTAAGTGATCATAAGCCTGTATCGGCAGAATTTTTAATAAAAGTAAGTAGAATTGCAGTTTTCATCTAGGGATTCAATATATTTTATTTTCAATAATTTTTTAACTAATTAATTAATTTGATCCAGTTTGATAAATTTTTACCTAATTTTTTATTAAATTGTATTAGTTATTGACACTAATTCTGGAGGTCCCAATATTCACAGCCAAAGGGTAAATATAAATTCCTGCTTAAGGTAGTTGTCGTGCTGTAAGCATACCATCAGAAAATTTTAAATTTTTGTATACTTATTAAGGACTTGACAATACAATTATCCTTAAAATTTGAACTCGATTGACCGTCTATAACCCGAGATAAATTCAATTAAAAATTGGATAATTAACATGTATTGTATACGCTTTCTGTAGTCCTGTACCAGTTTCTTAGTTATAAAAAAAACTAACTGTCAGAAGCTTTCAAAAAACAAACAGTCTTTTAATGTATTTTTGCTGAGTTTAAAAAAAATAATGAAAAATTTTTGACCGTCCAATTTTTTATAAATAACCGTTTAAAGTTCAACAATTTGTAAAAAGTATACATCACTAGTGTCAGATAAAAACAACTTGGTAACGCTGTACGCGAGTATAGATATCATATCCGCAGTAAATTCAAACAAACTGATTCAGTCTCCAATATATCTATTGGTTGAGCATAAGCGACGTTGCCGGATTAAAACTTACGTAAAGGTAACGTTTCCAGGCTACAGTCTTGCGAAAAAATTATGAATCACTTAGCTACCAGCTCGTATACTTTTACGGTGCGTATAATCTAAAAATTTTTGACAATATTGTACCACGACAACTACCTTAAAGGATTTTCCTTAACAATTTTTTGATCAATTGTTCAATGCCATCGAAGCGTTTTGAATCTTGCGGTTTTCAACAAACTTTCATTATTTTCCGTTTTATTGATAATTATATCAATAAATCATTAATAAAAGGATTACAGTGAAAGTCGACTAAAAGGCCCCAAAAAGTGTTATTTTTTACTCGTCTTTCTATTAGCACTTTTTTTTGGACTAATCAACGTTATACCTCATTAATTTAAATAAGAGATAATATAATTAATTTTTGCCTGGGTTTATTTTTTTTGTATCGTTTTTGGTAGATTCCCGCCTTAACCCCTGTTCAGGTATTTTCAGATTACAATGAAAGTATGATTTCGTTCGACCACGTGGCAACATGGGACGGCGATTCGGACAATAAAGTCACTTACTCCATCAGTAAAGATTTTGATGTAGAAGCAAAAGACTGGATAGCCGTTTTCAAGGTAATGTATAGGCTAAGGTAGCAAAGCAAATGTTCATTACCTAAGAAAGTTTTTGCAAAATACAAGGTGTTTATTATACCCCGTGACAAACTGCGAATGAATAATCAAAACCATTTTTTATCGCTACAAATATAGTATTTTCCATGGACTTTTTTAGGACGGATTCACCGGTCTGGACGAGTACGTGACGTACGAGTACATGAGGAAGTGCAGCAATCCGATCGAGGAGATAGACGGGGCGTGGAAATACGAGGCCACGTTTTCGAATCCGAGCAAATGCGACTCATATCGCCTCGTTTACTTCAGCCACAACAAATACGATGTGACCCGCGTGATGGCCATCAGCAACGTGTTTTCCATCGTTAAGAATTAAAGTGATTAAGCTTGCGGCTTTTGAGGTCTAGGTGAATTTTTAGGGATTTATAAAAAAAGGGTATGCGAAAAATTTCACACTTTTTCTGTTTAAGTACACGTTTTTATGGACTCACAAATTTTCTTTAATTTTGGTAATTTGTAAAATAGTCTATATCTTCTGATTTTATGTATGGAAACGCTTTTAGGTCAATAAAATACATTTTTACGAAAAAATTGAAATTAAAATACTGTTGGTAAAAAATTACCCGAAATCCTTAATCCAAATTTTATCGTAAATATAAAATTTATATTTATAAAACCGCTTTAGTAGTTAAAAGTGAGAAGATATCGACCTTTTAATTAATTCACAAAATTAAAGCAACTTTCTAAGCGATAACATACAAAAAAATTGTGTCGTTTATTTATTGATTTTTTATATAAATAATTTAATATCTGATATGCCTAAACTACTAACCCAAGGTGACTGAGCTAAAACATGGTTATTTTTTTTTTAATTAATTTTTTCTATGCATTTGTTGAAAATTTTAGATATTTATTGCACTTAAGTTCAAAAGTTAAATTAGTATTAATCGAATTGTTTTATGAAAATTTCTCAAAGAAGGAGCACCAAAAACCATCAAAAACTACGTTTACAGTCTGTAGCAGGTAGAGTTTTCAAGCGTCAAATAAAAAACGAAAAATTGAAAAAAATACACACATTTTAATGAAAGGAGCATTTTTTGTTATTTCCAAATTTTAAGCTGCAACTTCTTTAAAATTAAGTCAGAAAACAAACTGCAAACGCAGTGTTTCATGATTTTTACCCCCTATATGACATTTATTTGGGCAAAAAATTTAATTGTTGTACAGCGTTATTAAGAAACTTGGCAACGCTGTGTGCCTGATAGGATGATATTTATGATTTACAGATGCATTTTCTGACATAAAAAAAGTTGTCCATCATTTTATCTAAATCTTGAAATAACGACATTTCTAGTTTTTGTGATTTCTAAAAAACATATTTTTAAATTTTCTTGATTGTGCAGCCAAAAATGGTGGATATTAATTTTATTTATTTGCCCTTGTTTTTTTATTTAAAGAGCTACAAGGTTGGTTAAATTAAAGAAAAGTTGGAATAAAGCGGTTCTCAAATAATTAAAAAAAACTGAAAACCTGTCAAAACCAAAAATCCTTATAGATTCTTTATTTCTGAAAATTTTTAAACATAAGTAACTTTTACATGTAAACTGCAATTTTTTTATGTTGGAGAATTGGATGAAAATGAAGATAAATGTACAACTTACTGTTTTCAAAATTCCCAGGAATTACGAAGTTTTAACGATTTTCGGTTTCGACAGGTTTTCAGTTTCAAACATTTTGACAACCTCTGTTTTTTGCAATTTTTAACTTTTCTTTGATATAACCGACCTTATAACTCTTCAAATAAAAAAATACCCATATCTATACACATAGATGTTACTCTGAAACACGCTTTATTTTACAATATTTATAGAAATAAAACACTACTTTTTTTTACTGACATTTAAGGTTTTAAGATATTATATTGATTTTTAAAAGCTAATTCGATTTTGTTCAAATTTAATATTAATAGATTTTGCTGTGGTTTACACTGTTTTCTTAGAATATAATAATACTTTTACATCACTTTTTGTATACTTATACTTTGGAATTTCACAGAAAAATATTTTAATTTAGAGGTTTCAAAATTATTATAGGTCACTAAAAATACAATTTATAATACTACTCAATATTTTAAAACCACAATTTTCTCAATTTGTTAGGATGAACATTTCATATGACTTATGGTTATGGCTTATGACAAGATTCCTTAATAACATTTTATAAACCTTAGGATCAACTTAAAGCAGTATTGTCTATTTATACACTTAACTAATAAATTATATTTTTATATATAGGTACGATTTAAACGTACCTGTAGTATAAATATTGTTTGTATATGGTGACTATTTTTTGTTAGATGTTTTAATTGCAATATTTTGTTATTTAGTTTTAATAAATAATAATACTGATTATTTTTCGTAAATTGTTAAATTTAAAGCGTACGGTGAAAAGTATTAACATTTGTTTTAAATGAATTTTATAACAATAGTCTGATAGTTCAAAATATCTTTTAGAATGATAAAAATATATTATATATACATATAAAAATTTGGTTAAAAAAATATAGAAATATAAATATTTCATTAAATGATATAATGGTTAAAATATATTTATTCTCTTATGCAATTATTGTTTTATTTCCTATATAACGGGTAAATAAAAGACACATTTGTTCAAAATAATACAAAAGAGACATATGTCCTTATATTATTAAACTAATAACACAACATAAATACATTTGGTACAAACTTAAAATAGCTGACTTAGGATACTCAATTAGTTAAATTATCTGTGTTGTTCAGTTCTGTAAAAGCAGTGGTGGTAATTTGTAGTTTCTCCAGTTCCTTGTAAGCATCTTGAAGCGAATTTGTCCTCTCCCTTTTTCTGGGGAACAAAAGTTTCAGTAACTCTTTTTGCACTATACGACTGAAGCAAAATATAGACGCTACTATGAGGCCTTCCGCTGCTATTATTGTATGAAACGCTACTCCCAAATTTGTTGCTAGTCCTTTTTTGTTGAGGTAAGAATTTACTAGAGGTATCACCATTATGACTGCCAGAATGAACTGAGATCTCCATCTATAACAAAAATAATTATTTACCAAATGCATTTGGTATAAACCTTTAGGCTGTAAGACAATTTGGGACAAACCTACTTTATAAAGACACCTGAAAAAACACAATTTTGAACATTTTCAAAAATATTCTGGATAATTTTAATTAAACTTCGGCACATTCAGCTTACAGGAGGTTTAAAATAATATACGCCCAGAAACCGAGATCTTAAATCTTACAAAAACAAGATCCAGGGTATTAACACTGCCACCACCACATAAGTACAATACAAAACAGAAAAGCATCACCCTGTATATTTTAACATGTAAAGCGAAAAATTACCAAAAACATTAACGATTTGCGTTGCCGTTCAGGGGGTCCATTTCGACATTAGATTGACGTTGCTGTGCTAGTTGCCTACGTTGTCTTTTATCGACAAACCCATGCGCCACCGTGACTAAAGTGAAAAGTACTCCTTGCAACGACCACACGGCATCGCAACTTTTGACGATGCCCTCGAGTTCCATGTAGGAGTTCAGTTCAATGGCAATTAAGCTCATCGTGAACACTGCTATTATAATTAAACCCTGTCTCCATCTGGAAGAAATATTTTTCCACGTTTTTCTCTAGATTATCTTTAAAATATACAGGATGTTTACAAAATATTATACTATGAATACAGGATGTTTTAGAATTTCTGCTGCTAAACTAAACTATAACTATATTTTAAAACCAAACCCAAAACTGCCCTTTTGAGTTTTCTATGAATTCTAAAACACCCTGTATATCTGGCTGTACTGGTATCACCCGCAAGTAAATAAAATGTGTAAATATGTAATATCAGGGAGGTACTTACAAAAAGTTGAACCTGACTTTATTTTCCACCCAATCATATTCGCATTCTTGTTCTTTGTTGACTATACGTACTTTCACAATTAATATTACTATACATACAATGCTTAATACTATAAGTAATGCACTAGGAACTGTATACAGCCATACTGTAGTCTCTAAAATATAATATTAAAATTAATTAATTATAATAAGTAATAAATACAATATTTTTTTTGAACTCACCTTGCAGATAACATTCGTTATTTTCCCTAACCCTAATGAGTCCAGAAGGCAGATTTGGTGATTCAATTACAATTATAGTGATTAAAACTATAATGAGTGGTAATATAAAGGCCGGGGCACAGTAGTAATAAAGTCTACCACGTTTTCCTTTCTCCGGAAAAATGCTAAAACAGGAAAATTAGATTTTATAAATCTACTTAAAACTTTAAATTAAGTAGTAAATTAGATAATCTGATGGAATGAAGCTGAGGTCGAATTTGGCTTCAGTACATCAAAAACCTTTTTAACATATACATTAGATTTGTAAATAATTAGTTCTTTCAAAGTAAATGCAAAAATGTTAATGCAACTCATATATTTCAACCTCTAAAGTATACAAAAAAAGTTACAGGTAAAAAGTAGAGTGGATTTTTATAGAAAATTTAATTTCGTATAATTCATTTAACTACATAGTTTTAGAGATATAAGAGCATTTAATACTTGGGTGAAAATATTTATAGATTTATTTTTTTAAATTAAAAAACATAAATGTTTAATTTTTAATATAATTATAGGTATTATATTATAGATAATTAAAAACGTGTTAACAATAAATAATAAAGATTATAAAATAAAACCAAAATTGTGTTAAAAAATATTTGTCTTATTTTTTAAATACTTTTAAAGAATTTTAAATTTTAGACCATGTTTAACTGATTTTTTCTACGCCCTTTATCGTACATGTTTCCATGACACAAAGGGACCTTTTAAATACACATTGACAAGTTGTGGCTTTATGGCGCTTTAGTCATGGGCTGAAGTTAGCAACATGTTTTAGTCACGGGCTGAAGTTAGTTTTAAGTTAGTTGACAGTTGTCAAATGTCATACAATCGTTTAAATAAAGTGCCTTTCTTGTAAAATAATACTAAATGTGAAAATTATTTTATTATCTCAATACAAAAATACAAAAGTATTAAATAGTTTCTCAATATTTGAAAAGTTTATATGAACATTGTACTGACCTTTTAATTTCGCCGGTAGTAAACTATAACTTAAATTCGGGCACGGACTCCACTGTAAAGTCCTCATAAAACATTTTCTTTACTTTCACTGTGAAAAACTGTCAATTTTCAAGAAATACATTTCGACTTATAACCTTTATAATCTGTGTTTATAAAATGTAAAAATGTGACATTTGACGGTGACACACAGATTCCCCTATTGTTTCATAGATGGCGCTCTATACAAATTTTTGATTTAAATCATTTTAAGATAATAAGGACCTTTTTATACAAAATTTTCTATAAAAATCTTTATTACATTTAAAAAAGCAGTTTTACCGTAAAATGCAAAAATACTTACTAAATAAGATAAATACTGTCCAAGCATAATAAAAGTAACCAAATATAGGCGTTGATTTCAAAGAATTGAACAAAATATCCTAAAAATGCATGTCATGAACAATAGTATATTACCCTTGTAAAATATATGTACCTAATACGCTGCAGTAGTCCTTGTAATATAATATAATTAGGAAAATATATTTGAACACCATGGATGCAGCAAGACACGTGAACATTTGTTTGTGAGTTTGTTTACTATCAAAGCATAAATAATACACTACCGAAACAAAAATAAAACATGCCAAAGAGACGAACAACACTAAAAAAGATTTATTTCTGTTAAACAAAGTTTTTCTGAAATTAGTGAAATTGAGGTTGTAGGTAAAGAGGTACTCACAAATTATGTAAATCGTATTTGCCAATCCAGCTATTTTGGGCGTCTCCGGAACGCAAACAAAAACGGCTGTATTTTCATCGTCCGTTTCTACACAAAATCTATCTTGTACGAGGATTTCGGTGCCAGTTATTAAGGACCCGTTTCTTAGCAAGTCGTATTTGTCAAAGTTTTCGGGGTCTTCACTGCTGTGGATAAGGCGGTACCTGCAAAAAGTTGCACCGATTATAACATGACATCAGAACAATCAGAACTACTTATTTTTTTGTTAAGAGCAGGGCTGTGTTTAAATTACAATACAAAATATTTCTAAAAAGTGTACAGATCAGTGTGTGGTATAAATGTGTTCCTCATGGTTTAAACATTGTCACTTTAATGCGTTTTAATTTTAATTCTGAAAACAAACAGTAAAATGGCCAGTGTCGAATTACTGGTTGGTATAAAATGTAAATTTCTATTATTGGACATTTGTCCAATATCGAACTCTATTTATATCCCGGGCATTTACCAGCCAATTCTTATGTAAAATTGTCCCCTGAATCCGAAAAGACCGTCAAAAACTTTAAAAGTTAAGCAGTTTTTGAGATATAGTAAATTCCATATTATATGTCAAATTTATTATATTTTAAAAACTGTTCTACTTTTAAAACTTTTGACGACATTTTCGGATTCAGCGAATAATATTTCATAGGAATTGACTGCTAAATGTCCTGGATACAAATTGCTGTTGACGAGAATTATTAGTGGCTGCTTTTTCGCTATGACATGTTTGACTAATTCATTTTTATAGAGTAAGTAATATAGTGATTACTCGTCAAAGGACATCTTCCAGAATAACAGTGATTTAAATACAGTGCATGATAGAGAACATAAAAAACTAATGGCAGCAAAATTAATAAATTCGGAAACTACTTTTAACAGACCACCCGAAAAAATATTAGATATATATAAATCATCCTGTTCCGGCCTAAACATTATAAATGCTTCACAAACTAGAGATAACACATTTAATGATATTTGCAACAAACTATTTCAGAAGTCAGACCAAGGAATTAGTAGTTACCTTCAGAATCCAGAAAAGAGATAAGAAATCCGAGAAAGAAATATATGAAATATATGATATTTACAAAAACGAAATAAAAAAAATTATCTTTTGTATGTCCAATAACTATGGCCCATGTGTCCAATTACTATATAAAATGTCCAATTACTATACTTTTTTGCATGTTTTTATAAAACCATTATTAAAAATTTAACTATTCTTATTTTTAAGTAAACGTAAATAAAGTTTAAACAAACAAAATATAACTATCCTTTTTATATATTTACAAGAAAAAAACTAGAATCTTTAAAACAACACCATATACAAATAAATAATATTCCTGTGTCCAATAACTATGTGGTTTACCCTATTTTTAATGACTTTTTTTAAATTTATATATCTTTGCCGGGTTTTAAGCTATCATGTTATGGTTCATTGTTACTTACAGAGTATTAAATTTTAACGCTTTTAAAAAAGCCTATATTTTTCACATAGTTTTGAAAATATTAAGAGAATGACTTATCTTACCAACCTTACATTTTACTGCCCCAACGCTAATTCGAATATTATTCTTAAGTCACCAATTTATTTTATGTGCAAAAATTTTAATATATACTGCAATAAATGTGACATTAACTTCAATAGTATTGGTTTTATAATTGATAGCTTATGTAAAAAAATTTTAGTCTAATCTCTCTTTTTGTATATATGTATTTTTAATAAAATTAGGACCTATTTTAATTTATTGTATGTAATTGTTCTGTAAATGGATTTTATATCTGCTGGACAATAAACGTTATTATTATTATTATTATTATTATTATTATTATTATTAAAAAAATTTAAAGGAAAAAGTTGTAGAAAATCTAATTCTTTACAAAAACGTTTTTATGTTTTTATCGATAAAATGCAAAGTATACAAGATATATTTAGGTAAAAGCTAAGAGTTGTCTAATGAGTATTAATATATTTTTAAAATTGTTCTGTAAGCATTATTATTTTATGGATTGACATAAGTTTGTCATATCCTATTTTCTGTACATTGTTATTTAGTGAGTTATATTTACCTATACTGGCAAGATGGCGATAGGGGATAATAAAATGGTATCACAGTAAATAAGTCAGTATTCATTGGAACATCATCGTAATGCGTTGAGTTGTTGTTGAAAATGTTAATACGTAAATCCATATCAAAGACCGCTGGAGTGCAACTGTTTTCGACTAGTCTATGGTCTACGGGGCAGCACTTGGGAAGTCTTAAAATTTCAGTCTAAAACTTTTTTTAAAATATACCATTTTCAAAATGTACAAATGAGTACCTTATTTCCATATTTCGAAACGCTTTCAGTGACATTTATACGAACTGAACCAACAAGATTATTATATGAGTTCGAATAAACACACAAATTACTTATTTCTTGAAGAGGTTTCTCGCTATGAATGTTCGAGGAAATTCTGATTTCCTTAAAATAACTTAAAACACTAACATCCACTTTATATTGTGGACATTCTTCTTCTTCAATAAAATACCCTGTTGTATCACTATCTTCCACTTCCAACATCACCAGGTACAAATCGTAGTTGCTTAAAACTAATATTGGTCCGAACTGAAGATCACTGGAGTCGAAACCTGGCAATTGAGGTGATGCCAATTCCTTAAAAAAAAACATGAATTATGTATAAAGAAAAATATTTTTAATCTTTTATATTTACCTTAGATATGTGAAGAATAGATGATGGTTGAACTTGACCCTAAAACGAATTAAAATTTTAGAATTTTTTTACATAAAAAGTATTTTCCAGCAACTCTACCAATCCACTGAAAAAGCCGAAAAAGGTAATATAAATAAACCAAAGAATTCTATAAAAAATTATATAAAAAACTGTTCTATTGGGAGTTGTTACATGTTTTAGTTAATTATTGATATATCAAACTACCTAAATAATAAAAAAATGGTGTATACTTCAGCAGAAAGAACTAAATTAATTTTTATTTACGGATTTGATTTGATTTGAAATGTTTGTAAAATTACTACATTTTTACTAAGCAGTTGCATAGTAAAATTACAAAATGTTGTATTGTATTGTATTGCAATTTTTATAAGCATTTGTAATATTACATTTTGTTATAGCCAAAGTACTAAACAGGTTCCAATTTTACAATGTTTTTGTTTTTGTCAGATACTTTGGGAAATCTACTAAGATAAGTTGTAATTTTACAATCCATATGTATAAATCGGATTTATTAAATTAAATCGCCGTGACTATAGTCTTCTATAGAAGTACACCGGGAGTACGGGCATTAAACGTACATTAGGTTTGTGCGCATGCGTATTTCCATACCAGCTGGTAAAATTTCGGATTTATTAGTTGAGATCAAATTGGTACACTAAGGCCCAATTGTATTACAGTTGGTAAACAGCTGGTTAACTCTTGATAATAATTATGTAATTATAAGGCTAACTTTCAAGTGGTATAAACATTGATTAAAATTTAATTATCCCTTATAAGGGATTGAAATACAATTAACAACAAAATTAATGAAATGTCAGTATGAATTACCCAAACTCAACAACCCCGCCCCATTGGGCCCCTCCGCCCCATTGAGCGACCATTTAATATTATACAATTGACAAATATGCTAAATAAGGATTTTTTTCTACCCGGTGTACGTTTAATGGCGGTACTCCCGGTGTACTTCTAGTCACTTTGAAATTAAATATGTATAAATCGGATTTATTAAATCTAAATTTTACTAATCAGTTTCTAATAAAAAGCATCCCAGATTAAATCTGACATGCTTTTTATTAGAAACTGTAAAACTGATTAGTAAAATTACAAACCTTGTTTGTAATTTGATTTAAAATGCATAGTATGTACCGATTGCGGCAATGTTCTTACATCTCGCCTCGGTTGACTTAGGTGGACAGTATATAAGCTCAGGTGTCTTTCGTTTTTGGTGTGTTCCAATACACCAAATTGCCCGACATAGATAAGACCCAAAATAGGTCTATCTGTCTAGTTGTCTGTCGGTTTTGAAGTTGGTGGAACGCACTTCAAACAAAAACTGACGAGGTGAAGGTTCAATTTTTTTTTAAATCTTACAGTAATAGGTCAAGAAAGTTTCTTGAAGAAACTAAGAAAATTGCAGGGTTTTTTTCGTAGTATAATAATTTAATAATTAATAAGTATTTTAATTATTAAAATACCATCATTCGTAAATTACTAAATATTTTTAGTGTAATTTGTTGCACAAAATAACAAAATTTGTATTGTAATATTGCGAAACGAATTTTCTTCAGTTCAGTAAAATTGTAAAATATATTTTGTAATTTTCTTAAACTTGGTTGAAATTAATTGTATAGTATAATTACAATACACTATTTTAAAATTACTAAACAGATTTAGTATTTTTTTAGCAAAATTACAATACCTGTAGTACTGTTACTGAACAAATTTTTAATAAATGCTAATTTTCCCAAATTGAGTTGTAATAAATCGTGTAGTGAATTTACAAAATTTAGTTTTATTATTACTATATTGTGGTGCGTAAAAACTTCCTAAACATGTTTGATAAAATTACAATAGAAATTTTGACACGCGTTTTTAATGCGAGGCATTCAAGCAAAAATGGGGAATGAATATTAATATCATATTTACTACAACTCAAAAGTTCTCCGTATACGAAAATACCTACAAGTACATTTATTTATCAAAAAAATGTAATTAAAAAAATTTAATTATTTAATAGTTTGATAAGATAAATTTTATATAATAATAAAAGCTAGATTATAAAAATTACAAAATTTGGTTAACTTAAAAATACTGAAATATTTATTAATATACATTAAGAATTACACGTACCATGGCCAATTGGAACAGGGTAAAATTTTGGGGATTGTAGCCTCTAATTTGTATTAAACTTTTTATGACCTTGTTAGACTGTTTGGTCTAGTATTTTTGAATTTGTCATATTTTCTTGATTGTTTGCAGATTGATAAGATTCATACGATTTGTACACATGTAAATATTATTTTTTTGATAGTATATTGTGTTTTGCAAGTATGTATGTTGTATCTAAACAATGCTTGTCAAATGGTACAAGTATATTTTTAGATGCTGCATCATCAATCATTCGTGAATCAACCTAAATATTTTAATAAAACTGTTTAAGTTTGTAATTGATTCTGATATTGAGTAGATAATATTTATTAGATACTAAAAATGTAAAGGAATAATATTGATGGTATAATTTAAAAAAATTAAAATCTCAGAAGTATTTATTATATTTAGTCGACTGTTTATAATATTTTTATAATTTAGGCTTATTTTAAAGGTAATATCTCCATTTAGAGTGATAAATAAATAACAGTAGGCCATGAGTCATGCTGAATTTAATGTCACTTCCCGTAAAACTCTTCAAATGGAGATACTACCTTAACATAAATCTTTTTTGTGGATCATCAATTTAATTGACGCCTCTAAAAGGCGAAATTTATCCGAATAAAAAAATTTACATTTGTTAAAATACCTATTTATTAAATTAAAATTTTATATGTTTAATCATCTAATATTTCTTAACAAAAAATTGCATTTTTCCAAAATAAATTCCATTCAAATCGGACAAAAATTGTTCTTGTTTGAATTTTAAAAACTGTCGAATTTTGGCTAAAAATAGTATATTATTATACGAGAGATAATGCGCATAATTTCGAGTGTAATACTGTACTTTATATACTACAATAAGTAGATAACTATAGTTATGTATACAGTTAATTTTTTTTTATTTGGACTCGTTTTTTATTAAGTTGGTAGCTTATGCCAGTTTGATTTAGTATTTTTAGCATTTAAAAAATGGTACTTCTGCTGAAGTTATGCCAAATGCCTCAATGGCAGAAAAAGTACATCGCCTTATGGACATTTTTGGAGTAAAAAAGTAACGTTTTTCGTTTTACAAATATTAAATCACACATTATTTTCAGCTAAGCAGATCAAAACTTTTTGAAATTTAAAAAAATAAGGGAAAAATAAAAAAATTAAAATTATTCGCTGTTAGGTTCAACCTTTTGTGAAAAATCTAGTAGTTAATCTTCCTGTCTATGAAAATAGCATCCATTTGGTTTGAAAAAGATAAGCAATAATCACGAAACTTTTTCTTCTTTCAATTTGCAAGTTAATGATCATTAATATTTCCTGACAATATATACATTATAATTATTATTATTAAGCCTCTACAAGTATTAACGTCCAGTGGCTTTAACAAAATACCCATTCACCATTGGAGTCCAATGATTGGACAACATTCACGTGTGTTCACATAAAATTTTAATTTCTTTTATATAAATTCTTTTCAAAGCGAAGATTATTATACGCTAGGAATACTTTCTCTTCTGGGCCGTAAAGCAACCTATATTTAACTAGTTTTTTATATGATTTTACTCATCTACGCACCACCAAGGCCAAATTAATTGCATTTTAACAACGAAATGCACTGGCCATTTTTTGTTAAAAATTAACGAAACATGCACAGTTTTTAACAGACAAGAATTTGTTGTTGGTTTTGTAAAATTAAGTGGGTATATCTATAGATACGGAAAAAGAGTAAAGTGGCGTAATAATGCGCAAGAGATAGCAATTTAAACGTTATTTGCATAACTGAAATGTTTACTCAAAGATTTGTATCTATTATTATAATTATTATTATCTATCGTCGAAAATAATATATAACCTATGAAACTAAAACCAAAATCATAAATAATAAAGCATGCACCTGATTTTCTCGTGCGAGGAGTGACGTCACGTTCTCTGGGAAGTCTGTAGTATCCAAATGAGTCACCTCCTGAGCGGCGACAAGTCCAGATAGCAACAAAAACACTTTTAAAACAAACATTACTTCAATGTATTTGGTCCCATTAAAACTAATTCAAAACACCGAAATAGTTCGCACTATTAAAGTTCAAGTTCATTGTTGGGGCAATGAACAATGCCACGATTTGTTTTAGAAAAACTTTCACCAAATATCTAAGGATTTGAATGATCGTTTGGCGGTTCGATGTGCACCCGCGGGCTTCTCACTTGTAACTAATTGTCGTTCACAGGCTTCGATATATCAAACTGATAAACAAGTTTATTTTAGATGGCCACACCGATACATACATATGTACCTTCCATTCATTTAAATAAATAAATAAAGAGGGAAATAAAACCACTTTTTAAACTATTTTGAGTCAAAATTTTTGACCAATTTCAAAAGTATTTAAGGTGAAATTTAGTTTTTTTTTACAGACAGTAAACTAGTATTTGCCGATAAAGCAATAAAATGTCTTTACGGCCATTTCAAGCATGCGAAACGCACGAATTACAAAAAAGTTTTTATAAAAAAAAATTAGATAATTTATTACATAATATTTGTCCATCAAAATTGTCAAAAATATTCTTTTTTTATTAATTTAATGAAAATAAACGCAAGAAATATTTTATAAAAGTAGAGAATATTTTAATAGAAAAGGTGTGGGCGGGACCAAAAAACCACACAGGTATAAAAGTTATTATTAATATTTTAATAATTGACAGGTCTGTCAATTATTAAAATATTAATAATAATTTTTATAAAATATTTCTTGCGTTTTTTTTTATTTAATGTATAGCCTAATAAAAGAAGAATACCTATATGTGACAATTTTGATGCAAAAATAATATAATATAATTTAATAAATTATCTACAATTTTTATTATAAAAACAGTTTTGTGATTGGACCGTATGCTTGAAATGGCCGTTTACTATTATTGTGAAAAAAAATTTCAATTTTAACAATCGTAGATACACAGTAAAAAAAATCACATTTTCCCCAAGTAAGCAATTATGATTTAACACTATAGCACTAAGGATAAAGTAATTTTACACTGTGTAAAAGTGGTAATTTACCTAAAATCGTGTAATTCTACACTTCCTGGGTAAAATCCCACTTTTGTTCATTGTGTAAATTAACACTACTTTGGAAAAGTTCTAATTTTAGAAAGGTACTTTTACTCTTTTAGTGCAAATTTCTAGTGTAAATTAAAACTATTGTTTGAGTAAAACCTATTGGTGGCAGTGAATAAAACGAAAAGGTAAATAAAGAGAAACATTTATTTGGAACAAAAACCTATGACAAATATCAAAATCGGTGCCTTTTAAAATATAATTTTATATTTGAGTCGTATGGCTGCCTTAAGCAAAATGGTTCCTTAAAACGTAAAAGTTTTAGATCAATGCAATGTTTTACTGGCTGTCAACTTGTAAGCAATGAATTTTCTTGAGAATTTATCAGTAATCCATTTTTCTTTTATAAAAAATGGGTGATCCCATTGGTAGAGAGGCGTCAGGCATTTTAAAACGCATTTCGGTTATTACCAGTTTTTCCAGTCTATTTTGCCACTATTGGTGTAATTTAACTTTAATTGTGATACAATGTGCACTAGTAGTGGAAAGAAAAAAGAGCTCTTAGTAACATCAAAACAGACAAAGAAATTGGCATGCACTGTAGTGTACATTTTGTCCCTATTTAACACATTAAGGGGCAATAAACACTCTCATTAAGTTTTTCTACCCTTTTAATAATAAATAGTGTGAATGTACCAATGAATAATGTTCATATTCTTTAAATGTGTTTAATAAAGTTAATAAGCACTAAATGCTACCTAGTGTATTTTGTAGTGTAACTTTTACACTTACAAATCAACTCTAATATTTTTACCCCTACACTAAAAAATTTACACGGGCAAATTTTTTTACTTTGTATTATGTGGTTGTGGTAAATATTATATTGTAAAAAAGTGATTATTTACGTTAAGATCTTATGCTTGGGGATTTCTAAGAATACAAAATATAGCGTATGCAATGGAAATGCGATTTTATCTATAAATAGATTGAATTTTAATGAGCAGAAAATGATGATAATAAATTTATTTATTATTAAACAGAAATTTATAAAATAAACAAACTTTTTAAGTATAATTAGAATTATGTATTGCATAAAATAAATTTATTAAATTCAATACAAATACACTACCCGTAAAAAAAATTTCTTAATTCTTTAAAACGCCTTTATCAATCTATGAAATTTTGTATAAAAATACTTCAACTTATATCCCAGTTTACGTGTTCGAGGGTTTTTAGAAAATATTTTTAAAGCCCTTTTATTTAATAATAAAAAACGCTCCAAAAACAACTTTTAGAGAATTTTTTAAGTAAATAAAAATATGCTGTTAAAGACCGTATTTTTGTTAGTATACCCTGAAAATTTTGTACAAATCACACGAAGAGTAACGAAGAAACAGCGCTTCAAAGTCTGACCCCTTTTTGATTATATTGCTGTAAAATGGTAATTTTTGACGACTGAAGTGCTGTATTTTCGCTACTGTTTGTTTGATTTTTACAACATTTTCAGGGTATACTAACAAAAATACGGTCTTTCACAAAACAGTTTTTATTTACTAAAAAAAATTTCCCGCGATAAAAGTTTTTTCGAGAGTTTTTTATTACTAAATAAAAGGGCTTTAAGGATATTTTTTTGAAAAACCCTTGAACACGTAAACTGAGATATAAGTTGAAGTATTTTTATACAAAATTTCATAAAGATTGGTAAAGGCGTTTTAGAGTTAGAATTTTTTTACTTATTATGCGTTAATTTTGACTGGCAATAGTTCATAATGTTGTTATAATTTTGTTTAGGTTGTTATGTTGTTGCATTTATATCTTTTTTATGTAACCTTTATGGTATCAAAACTATTTTCTTGCAAGCCGCTGCAGAGGTTAAATTTTAAAATTAGGTTCCTTGGTTTATTTACAAAATTTTTGTATCTTGAATTTGTTTCATATTTTGCTTCATTTAAAAGTTATTAAAAAAATTAAGTCAAATTTCAAATTTTGTTTGGCTAGACTTAATTTTTTTTAAATCTTGGAAAACCCTGTTTAGGAAATTAGTTAAATGGTAACTAAAAAAAAATGCAAATGATAAATAAATATTATTTTAATAGGTCATTGATTAAATTTGATTTGTTTAAATTTAATTAACAATTATAATTTATTATTTGCATTTTTTTGTTTTTATCATATGCAATTTATTTTATTTAATTAAATTAAATTATGCTAACAGAATGCTAAAATAATATAAACAATTAAAAACAAAAACCAGGCAAACATGATCACCCGGTATAATAATAAAAAACAAAATTTAGAAAATATTGGTCAGTTTATATATTTTTATTGCTAGATTAGAATAAGGATTAAAATTTCATAATTAATTTTTTATTCTTTATTCGATTTAAAGGAAAACCCACAACAAAAATTATAATATATTTTAATTCATAATTTGGAATACATTGACCAAGGCCAAGTCGGATCATAATAGAATTTTAACAGGCGTTAGACCATTATATAAACTTTATAGGTTATTTTATAAAAAACAATGTTGTTTACAATAGAACAAGTAAGTATGTATATATGTAAATAATGATGCACGAATTACCAACCTGGGAACCGAAAACTATTGTTATTGCACACACATAGCAACAAAAATAAACTGTCGCGATTTCGCCCATGTTAGTTAAAATATTTTACTATCAACACGTTGAATAGTTCACGTAACCCGTAGTAAATTTTGCATCTATTTTTAAATAAACTATGTAGGTATATTTTGCCAGTACACGCCGAGTGACAAGCTAACGGAATTACGTTTATTCGGTTGTTTATGAATCTTTAGACATAGTATTTTTTATTTTTTTATTTAACAGTTTACACCGTATCCCAAGTTATCTACTCAGCATTCTAATTCTGTTATTAATGAGCAAATTGGTGAAATTTTTTTTTATTTAAATAGTGATGACGAAAAAAAAATTTTACGTTGGGTTTCCGAAATGTAAAAATGGTCAGGACATAGAGGCAGAATCGTGAAACACCCGAAACGCACACTTTTTGACTTATAAAATCGTTATCCTATATGATAATCGTTATCCTATATGTAATAATTTTACAATTTAGATAAAACAACTAAAAACTTAGAGAATCAGGAACTTTAATTGCTAAAATGTTATTTTAAAATACATAAAAATTTAGACTCTAAACGATGGGAATAGGTATAAAAAACATTATTTACAATTGTCAAAAATGGCGAATGTGCCGGGATTAAAAAGCTTATTTTTTCTGTAACTGTAATAATTACTGAAAAACTACACATAAATATATGTGAAGATGCAGATAATTATTATAATAGGAGCATGTTATATTTTGTAAATATGTATGGGTGATTCTACAAAAGTTGGGCAACTTTTGACCTCATTTTGTTTATATAGTTTTCAGAGAAAATTAAATAGTATTTTGTTATGAGAACATAGATAATATAATAAATATACTGTTCCAGACCGGGCCGTCACTTTTTCAAACAGTTTCTGAAATATCTGTGTTTTACTAATTTGAATGCAAGGGAAGTGACGAGTATACCAGGGTACTAATTAAATACATAATTTATTGGAAAATATAAGATTTATTGCAACTTTGAGCATATTATAGGTACTGATGTTTTGAATATTTATTATGTTTTTCTACAAACGTGCTTTTGAAAGAATACATTAAAATTGGGTGGACAAGTTAAAAAACCTGGATCTTTTGTAATATACTAAAATATTTACAAAAAATATTAAAATACCTACTCTATTAACTGATGACATCAAGTTGTCTAACTTTTGTAGAATCACCCGTATATTTTATAATTAATAATACTTATTTTACGTATAAAGTTATAATGGATGGTGTAAATTTACACCATCCTTACTTAAGTAAGTAACCTTTATATATTAGCTAAAAGCTATTTTAAAGATATCCACAAGATGTATATTTTGATTATTATTTATAGTTAAATTTTTTAAAATAAAGTTTTCACATATTTAATAACATTAATAATACAAGTAATAATTTTGTGCATAAGAAAAATTGTATTTTTAGAGAAGGATTTTGTCGACAAACAACCTTTGTAAAGCCCCGTGGGCATATTTGTTAATGTTTTGTGTGTGAAGTGCTGAGCATTTAAATTGCCGT